TGGGGTGAACATAGCTGTGTAGCGGGGGTGTGATGGGGTGAACATAGCTGTGTAGCGGGGGTGTGATGGGGTGAACATAGCTGTGTAGCGGGGGTGTGATGGGGTGAACATAGAGTGGACATGCACATACAAAGAAAAATGCAAGCAACTATTATTATACTGGCGATCAAAAGAAAGGTGCCACTTCTTGATACCACAAAATCTAGATCTCGTCTTTTGAGTCTTTCCGCCAGTCATGCGAGTAGTCTAGTACTAGATCTAGTAGTCTTTCAAAAAGTAGGTCATGTTACAAACACATTTGGATGCGTCAATCGGTGCTCACAGCACCATCAGTCAACAGTACAACAGTGGCCATTTTTTCCTGACAACGTGGCGGATTTTTTTCCAATCTTTGTTTTTTAAGTGAAATTTAGGTCTCTTTTTATTTGGTAAATGTTTTACGGCGCTCGCAACTGCATAAGGCCACATGAGCGCTCGGGACACATTAAACATTTTCAGTAGGTGGGAAAATTTTGAATTTTGCACGTTGGAAAAACTGTCGGGGAGTGTCCTAGTGTAGGCTACTGTCCTGGCAACAGCGGCAGCGAGCGAGAGCACGCCTGTGGCTTTCTTTCTCTGATATTGTGTGAGCCAACTAGAGTCTACTCTCTCTCTCAAGTGACAATGATGAAATGTTCTCCATGTGTTTTGTCGCTATTGTTGTTGTTGTTGTGTTTTTTTTTGGGGGGGGGGGGTGATAAACAAAGACCTACACTTTAAAAAAAAATCACCAGTAGATCTAGATCTATAATGAGTATAATGTTATTATTCCCCGCCACCACCACTAAGGAGTAAACCTAAACCATAGCAAGTCTCATACGTACTCCATCCAGGGATGTTCTGATCATGGAACTGAGTTTTTTCTTGGGACTCACGAAAGGAAAAGATTTTGCCGCAGTCTGGCGGATTTTCTTTGCCTTCAAACTCATGGTGAGAAAATGTGATAGTCCAAAAATCCCAAAGAGTTGAAACAGCAGGCCACGCACAAAACCCAGAAAACGAAGGGCACAAGAACTAAAAACAGATCACCACTCCATGTCTGTTCATCTTATAGCTTCCGAGGAAATGCTACCCTCAAGTTTGCCAAACTCTTTCATTGTATAGATCTATATAATACTGAAGGCATTGGTGACATTCCAAACAAAAGGCCATTCCAAGAAAAGGTTCTTCAAGAGTCATGCTCTTCTTAGCTCTTCAACGTGCGGAGTAGCGGACGGCCATCTTTCCTAGGCCCGCGCTTTTTCCATCAACAAACGTTGGTTTAACCTCTGCTGAGCTCCCTGCCCCAGGAACTAAACAACACCAACTGTGGTATGCATAAGCGACCGTAAGTGAAAAATGCAAATGATTCACTCGTATTTTCGCCCACTCTCTCCACCTGTGCCCCTGCAGATGACACTAGATGTCAGCTCTACACACACCGCGGTCGCGACAGCCTGCCCACGGGTTAGCCAGTGCTAGATAACTACATTCATTGTGTATTGTGTAGATCTAGATCTAGGGGCCTACCACTACTACCAGCAGACAGCGCAAGGCGCTCACAACACACGCACGGCTAGCTAGCAGTAGCAGCAGCTGACACTTCCACTCCTCACTGGACTAGACTTCATCACCTCTGTGACCGAATGCTAATTTTCCACACAAGTCACCGACATGAATACATCTCTCGGTGAGTACAACTTCTGGCTTGCCTGAGATAGACCTCTACGGTAGGCCTACCACACCACAGTAGCCTACAGTTTCTGTTAGCAGTGTCAAGTTGAAGCATCGTACAGATCTAGACCTAGATATCTAGAATGTAGATATCTAGAGTTATTAGTTGAAGTAAAAGCTGGGCTACGTCTCGCACTCACGTCAACATCCAAGTGTGTACACGACATTGTCTTATCATTGAGAATGTGCCATTATAACGTAAATGTATTATTGTATTATTTAATTAATACGATGGGAAGACCAAGTTTGTGAAATGTGCGATACATGTGCCTTTCAAGAAGTAGGCTAGGATCTAAGAGTATTTCTCCGGAAGCCCCCATCATAAACTGCTACAGGACAAAAAACCACTTGTAGCCTGTAGATATCCAGTGACACGAACACTAATGCTGGTGATTAAAGCCAGTGCTTATTTCACGGTTCACCGCACAACCATTGCCCACAACAGAGACGGTAGATCATTTCATTATACAATGCCAATAGACAGACAGTAACATTGCATTATGCATGCAGTGCCAACTGAGGCACAAATTACACACTTGGCCAAGGAAACGATGAAAGAAACCGGACAAAATGTTTGTCAAATTCCACTATTATAAATGGAAAACATCAGTTTAAGTTTAAGTATTTATGTAGTCTAGTTACTACGATTCCAATTTTATACTTTATCTGAACATCTTGAAAATGGAACAATGAATGTACTTTAATGCTTTCTGTATGTTGAAAACATTGAATGTACCTTCAAACTGTCGTCACTCGATTGAAACTCTTTCTTTAACTTTAAACAGGATAAATCCTTCGGTCATTCATTTTTGACAGAACTTTCATTACAAGTTCTTTTTTAAGTCCTTTTATTGCATACACATAAAGTCCCAAACAAACTTCCAAAGTCCCACATGCTCATCATACCCCCGTATGACTCTTAATGCAGTTGCGAGCGCCGTAGAGCTTTTACTAAATGAACAGACTTCCTTTTACTTAATTTTAGGCACCCATTATTAAAATAAAGGAAGACGCTAGCCGTACTAAATGACGGCTAGATAGCTGGGCTAGCCGTACTTATTCTTAATATGATGGCTAGACTGACCGTAAAAAAAATAGGCTTACTGAATTGTAAATATAAATTTTTAGTTTGCAGTACCTAAAGTATTTGTATTTGAGACGAAACCAGGTGCCTTTATGACAGTGTATGTATTTTAAACCTCCTGTTTTCTAATGTTAATAGGGCCTAAGATAAGTACGGCTAGACTTCTTGGCTAGCCGTACTTAAGGACGGCTAGACTGTCAGGCTAGCCGTACTTAATATTGATGGCTGAATTGTAAATGAAATTTTTAGTTTGCAATGCCTAAAGTATTTGTATTTCAGACAAAACAAAAAGGTGCCTTACTGACTTGCATGTATTTGAACCTGAATAATTACTAGATCTAGATCTAATGAGACCTGTGTACTTAACAGGTTTGAGTCGATAGGGCCAAACCTAGATCTAAGTACGGCTAGACTCTCAGGCTAGCCTTACTTAAGTACGGCTAGCCACTTCGTAAAATAAATTAAAACTGTCATGACTGGAACCCCCCCCCTGTGAGTGTCTAGGTCAAGAAGGTTGGGGGGGGGGGTGGTAAGTTCACTTTTACCCTCTAAACGGCATGCTTTAGACTTTAGATGTTGACTAGAGTCGTCAAACTTACAAAAAAAGGGCAACGGAAGAAAGAGATAGAGGATGAGATACAAACAAACTTTTCAAAGTAAACAAAGCAAGAGTATTGAGTATTTCAAAGAACAAACAAGGATTTTGAGCATATAAAATTGTAGGTTTGGATTGCTATAGAATATGTATTGTCACAAAATACTCTAGGATTATTTAGATTTAAGCCATTTGCTTTCAATTATAACACTTTTTTTTAAAGTGGCGTCTGCTTTTCAGTTAGGATTCAAAGTTGTTTGTATGGGATAACAGCTAAGAGGGATCCCTAAAGGAGAATTCAGTGACTGAAGGGTAAGTGAGTTACAGCTCACAATTCTGTCCAGTACAGGCCAAGTGCCTGGTTCAGTGGTCACAGCTTTCAGGTGGGTGGTCACTGACTGTGTCCTTGGGCAAAACACCAGAACCATAGTCAATAAACAGGGCGCTTCACACTGCCTGCCAGCAATACTGTGTATGCTTTGTCTATGTTCTACACCTTTGTCTATATTGGTGATAGTGGTGTCTGTATTATTCATCATTGTTGGATTATTCATTTATTTGTGTTTATTTATGTCATTACTTTATGTCATTATTTTATGTCAACAAGTTTCAAAAGGGGATCAAGTGGAATTCATTTTAAACATTCATATCTAAATTTATAGTGTGCTGTCAAAACCCGTTATACCGCCTACTTGTGACAAAACAACCCTTGTTAAACCTAAAATACATTACAAATCATGGCCAATGTTCTTTTTCATATTTTGCCCAACTTGTTTGGAATAGGCTTCCAAAAACTATCAGAGAAGCAGAAAATCTCGAAATTTTAAAGAAAAAACTAAAAAGCCTTTCTATTTTCATCATTTTTGATTAGACAGAATCCATCCAAGCTGTAGATTGTCGTGAGTTTGTATGTGTGTGTGTGGGAGTATGTGTGCACACGCGTATGTAATACTATGTGCCTATAAAATTGATTTGTAATTCCATAATATGTTTCATGTTAAGCG